CAGACCCCGGCCGCCCGGCAGGTGATGAATAATTACTGGTTCCGGCCAAATAGAGCCTGCATGAAGGAAGTGAACGAAGGGCTATATCGCGGATGAATCAACGCTGAAACAAATTCATGCCATTCTTATTTTTTCTCGGTAAGGTGTCGGGATGCACTGGGCAAATTACGTGTACAAGTTCGCACCCTGGTCGGATCTGGGATGCTGGAAGGATAATACACGTGACCGAGCTATGGAGAAGATGCTGGTAAACCTGCGGTTCCAGATTGATTGGTTTAACATTGGAAAAACCAGTTAGTATCATATGATAGTACAACTCAAATGGGGTAGTTAAGTAAGGAGTGGGGACATTGCCAAATAACTATAAAATCTGGATAGATAGTATGGCGCAGTTAAACTAAAGTAGATTCATTAGGAATTCAATGAACTTTGTGTTGCTGATGTACGGTATTTCCTCGAATAAGCACCTTAGCGCTCATTCAAATCTTCGGCCAAACGGAGAGGTGCTTATTCGGGGAAGGTGGGGGCTTAAACGGGGGAGAGGGGGGGCGGTTATTGAGTTAGCACAGCAATAGAAAGAATTAAAAAAAAAAACAGATAACGCGCATAACGAACTCTGCCCACGCATGGAGATGGAAATAACTGGAAATGACTCGAACGGAAAAGAAACTATTCTCCGGTTCTGATTCCGCTGTAGTTGAAGCTCAATTAATGCTAAATAAAGTGTTTATAGAATCAGGTTTTCGTTAGACCCCTATTATTCAACAAAGTGCAGGAGGTGCTTATAAGAGGGGAGCACTTGTTTGACATTGTTGCATAAGGGGGTTGACGCTTGTTCGGGTCTTATAAGAGCGTGGAGGTTTATTTCGCAGCATGAAACAACTAGGTTTAACACTACTATCCCGATTAGACTGCTAGTTCCGGCAATAGAGTGTATCCTCCCTCTCCCCCCCAGCATTTCGTCAGAGCTCATTGATAATTCTGGGTGAGAGAGCGACACCGGCATCTTAAGGTTAGTTTCGTTTCAATTTGCTTTCGGCCCGCTCGTGGTTAGTTTCCCTATCTATGCAAAAGCTACTAAATAAAGAACTTTCATGGTAGCCCCCGGGAAACTGGAGAAGCGTTTAAGCTGGTGAAGAAAAACGTTCCGAAAAAAGTTGATGACGAAACTTACTTAATTTTACTGAAGGAAAAATTCTTCTTCTTTACCAGAGTCGACCTTTGCTACCAGGCCGCAAAGAAAGCTGGGAAGAAGTACTTTGCAGTGCAGTTTTACGGCGAATGCTGGGTGGATAAAGATAATGCGACTTATAGGAGGCATGGGCCGAGTACATCCTGCTGGAGTGGTGTGGGAAAACAAAGAACTAACTATGTGTATCGTGTTTTGTGGTGAAAAGGTGAGTGAGACGATAAGATAACAAAAAAAATAATAAAACGACAACGTCAGCAAAAAAACGAAGCGGAGAAAAGGAAATGAATGAATGAGTGAATGAGTGAGAAGAGGCAAAATTGATGAACAGTTATTGGTAAGTGCATTTGATACGAGTCATATTCGAAAATTCATGAAAAGTTTCAACTGGACTATTTTGGGAAATTTAGATATCCGTTTTTATATTTTAGAAGAAGGGAAGGAAATTACAGGTGTTCTATTTAGAAAATCATTACCACCGTCGTTGCCAGCTTTGGGCCAAGCATCCCTCCCCTCCCCTTCGATGACGAACAGGGTGCTAAGGTAATCCATGGGAATCCTGCGCATTCCCCCTTTTAAGAAGAAGTGACGATTTACGATAATACTACGACCTATTATGTGCAAAAAAGACACTTTCAGCGCAGTCGGTGGATTACTTTTTGATCCTGTTCTACCTGAGTGTTGTTCCTTCATTTGATGTAACTACAATAATTAAAAATGACCCGTCATTAACTATCGCCGGGGAATCGGAGGGGGAATCGGAGAGGTCACATGGTTTCCAGGGGGAATAGAGCCGGGGAGATCAGTCGTCTCCAACAGGAGTTTAACGGGGGAACTTAAAAAAATTGAATGCCAGTAGGGGAGGATCATTAGATTTTAACAGAGCCTTAAGCACCTTTTTATGGATAACTTTTGTTTGTTAACTGAGAACTTTCTTTTTTTTCTACTATTTTTTAAATCAGGTCAGTTCCATCGATTTCCTCAGAAGAGCCTATCTTTGGCTGGTTGAAGTTGTCGCGGACATTTTCCACAATTCATTGAGTAATAAATAAATAGATTCCATCAAAACGCTGCACAAGAAATAAACATATGTAAATGTACATGTTGGCTTCCTCTCTACTGGTATCCATTTGTACTTCCCTTGAATATAGAAACACTGTGAGATCCAAATGTTCAACTTAAAACCTTATGACTGACTGATAAAATGAGCTGTCATTCCCTGTTTTAACTTCAATGCTCCTGAAATGTATTTTGTTTTGATGGAGGATATCTAATGCAAGTCAAAAGTAATCTCTTTACAACCGCAAATCCTCCCCCCCCCCAAAAAAAAAAAAAAAACTTTCCAAGATTTTTCCTAAATTACACCTTGCGGTCTTTCTTTTGAGTTCGTAACACCAGACGAGACGTCTTAGTGATCGGTCATTATTTAACGCGGGGAGGGGGGGGTGGGGTGGTCGGAGTCAATTAATTGTCAATTTTCGATAGTCTCCCCCCACAACATAGACTATTCCAGACGATTGATTCCCCCCGCCTCGTTACCCCTGAAAACCATGTAACCCCCATAAGATCTCCGACCTTCCCCCCTCCTGAGTGATAAATAATGTTTGGTCCCCTCCCTGACGAGTCCTACCGATTGATGCCACAGCCTGGTTATCAGAAGTTTGAACGAGTCCAGAAACAACATCCTTTAATCAAAAACTTTTATTTAATCACAGATAACCATAAATCACTGTGTTGTTTGATTTGAGGAAATCTCACGTAGATTGAATTGACAAAATTTTATTAGTAACGTAAAGATTGCAGTTTTATTTTTCCTCCCATGTTGATCTCCGAATAGAAAAGAAAATCCCATTCATTTTTGTTAGCTATTCCTTAGAATTACTTATATCAATTCTATTTTCAACTTCTAGTGATAACCGATCTCTAAAACTTGACTCTTGAAGCAAACAGCTTCTGTTACAAAACAGAAAAAAAAAATCAATTTCAAGGTTTTTGCAATTTAACACCCTCGAACGTAATCAGTTTTGACATGACTTGATTGCCCAGGTTCAAAACGTCATAAACCAGTGACCTTGTCCTTCGGGAAATCATCAGAGAATGATATCGTGTAGTGTCAAGTAATGTCATGTCATCAAAAAATTGTTGTCAGTTTCTGTAAATGTATCCATAGCAACTCACATCTGAGGCTTTGTCTGAACAATGTTTTTTTCATTCGGCCTGATGTTATGATGAGTCTTGGCTAAACCGAAATAAAAATGCAATTTACAAGGAATATTTAACTACGTTTAACACATATTGGGCTGCTCCAGATAATTGCCTAAAACAGCTTTGTTAAGCACTTTTCGAAGCAGTAAGGGAAAAAATTGAAACATGCATTTTCTCGCACATTTTTAAAAATGGTGACTAGCTTTCAATACAACCTCTGATCAAGTTGAACGATACGAACCTAACATAAGTGTGTAATACACGTTCCACTTAGACTAAACCATATGATTCCAAAGTTTCTTAAAAAGCCCACTTCTTTTTTTTTTCTCAAATCCGCAGTCGATCCATTAAGTTGGCCTTTCGGAAAAACCGTTTTCAATTTTTGCTTGCGTTCGACTGGTAAGTTCGTCGTCAACGTTGTTATTTCTTTCCTTGGCACTTTCGTTTTGAAATGTAGAACTTGCACCAAACGTACTTCGGAAACTTGTACTCCAGAATTGGACCACGGCATCGCTTAGATTGCTTTGAATTTGCCCGCATTTACAAGGGAGGACTCGCAAAATTTTGTGTCGAAAATCTCGGTTTGAGCTTGAGTAAATAACAGGATTAAGCGCGGAGTTTCCATAATGAAGCAGTTTGATGGCAAAAGTCGCTACTAGTGGGACATAAAACTTTAAAAACGTCACCAAGATATTCATGATGAAAAACGGCGCCCAACAGACTATAAACGCGCCCATTACAATTGCCAGCGTTTTTGCCGCCTTGATCTCCCGCTTGAAATAGAATGCTTGCCGGAGGGGTTGGATTCGGCGAGCTTGGCGAAGGGCAGCAAGAAAAATGCGTGAATATGAGTAGATCATTACAGAGAGAGGGAGAAGAAAAGACACCACGAACACCAGTACTGGGTAGTAAATACCGCTGTGTATGTTGATAGCAGCAATGGTTGCTGAGTAAGACCACAGGCCAATTAAGGCGATCATCGCGCGAGTTTTGGTGAGGATCAGTGAGTACCTTAGAGGTGAAGTGATTGCTATGTATCTATCACAGCTTATGGCGCACAAGTTCATGATCGAAGCGGTGGAAAACAAAATGTCCAAGCACCTCCAAAACGAACTGAGAATCAGATCGCAGGCCTGCATCGTTTTGATACACTCTGTGTTCTGAATAACCAGCCAGATCGGAATTGAAACAGAGGCCACGAGTATGTCCGTGATAGCTAATGACACGATGAATATATTTGTAACACATCTGAGGTTGGTCGAGTGATAGAATGCAAAGCAGACGAGGGTATTTCCCAACAAGGCGAAAACCATCACAACAGCAAGAGCAACGGTCGAAGCTGTTACGATAGGAGAATTAAATGATACATACGTCGAATTATTTGCTGTAACTTGTGTGATAGTCAAGAAGAATAAAGCGAACTTTAAATTCGATCCTCCGTTGATCCAATGCATAAAGTTTGCTCGAGTCTTTTTGCTGCACAAAAAAAAATTATTCCAGGAACCCCTGCATTTACAAAAACAGTTTGATACGTTAATTTATCCTCGTCTATCTGGAACTTAGTTTCAAAACTGTTTTTTTACAGCTTTTTGCTGAAGTTCATCTCTTAAACGTTGTGGTCTTAAAGAAGGGGCATCTTCGGAAAATAATTTACCAGGAAATGAGGTTATGATCCGAGAGAATTATAAATAGAAATTCTCAAGTCGTCGAACTCCAATCTATTTCGCTGAATGTGCCAGACTTTGATTTGAAAGCTAATCCCGCCGAAAAACCACATCCAATACTAAGGGCGGATGTATTCGGACGCAATCAATTGAAATTAAAGTTTCAATGCTGCAGCTGATTTCGAAGAATTAAGAACTTCAGTGACACTAGACACGCTGCCAATTTGAGCTTAAAAGAACATATTTTCCTATCTGTAATGAAAGACGTCTTTGTGCTGTGAATAATAGCTTCCATGAATTGTTTATTTTTGTAATTTTTTGTTTATATTTAAGCCATAGCTAGTAATACATATTTCTTGCAATTAGACGTATATTGCGCCAGAATTTGACAATGACGGAGTAGGATAACATTACATGAAAGCGGCTGTCAGTTACATGTGAAGTGAAAAGGGATTAAGCATATGATACTCCCTTTCGAGTTTTTTTTTTTTTCCTTTAACACTTTCTCCCGTTTATGAAGTGAACAAAAAAATTTTTGTTGCAATGACGGTTACCTAAATAAATTGATTTAACTCGACTTCGGTTCCTAACAATTCATTTTCGGCAATCAAACGTATTTTGGCTGTTTTTCACTTTTAACTCGTGCTTGCATGTGAAATCCTGACAATTTAGCTGTCACAGAGATCACTGAGAGATCGATTGCGGAAGAAAACTGCTTAAATTAAAACTCGGCTGAGAAACTGATGACTTAAAACGATGCATTAAGCAATAAAACGCTGATAGCAGTTTCTGAGTGATGGTTATTCACGATATAGTTAAAGTTTCAAAATTTCCTGCTCTTAATATTGCCTGAATAAAAAAGAAATTTGTGAAAATAGTAAATTTCAACTCATTACACAACAATTCTGCGAGCCGCCATTAAGCTGAAGAGAAAACTGATGAGACTGACAGGTTCTCGCCAAGATAAATGAATTGTTTACTTTGGAGAGGAAGATATTTCTTCGTCAGGATATTGAATGCGTGAACGTAATTTGAACAAGATATCTATATGAAATTGCAGCCAGTATGCTAATGTTAGATAATGGCAGATGACAGATGCACTTTCTTCGCTTTGTAAATTCACAAATTTCGTTGGAACAGTGACGAGAAAACCTTGCTCCTCAAAATTGTGTACTGTTAAAGCCCTCCATTTCATTCTTAGGAAAAATAGCTCGAGGGCTCACAAAAGACCTTAGAAGAGTTTCACTGACACTCAGTTTTCAGTGCGATAAACCTCCCTCTTGAAGAAAATGTCCGTCTCACAAATCAGATGTCGCAGAGTTACAAATCTAGTGTTGTGTCGTGAGTTAAACGGACCGGAGTCATTAGATAAAATCGATGTTACAGCTTTCCTAGAAATCAGCACATCCTTTCACAAAGCTTTTAAAGGAATATTCATGAGGACGGCAGTTGAAAGCGGAACAGAAAAAACAATAGCTCATCATTTGGCAAGGTGCCCAAATGAAAAATTGTTTCCTTAGCTTGCTTTCCCTTACTTGTCTCCGTGGAAAGTTCCCTCCGTCATTTTCATATTTCTCTCTACAGCTCTCAATAAATATGCGTTTTCGACTAAGCGTGAGGTCAAGATGGCTGGATATTGGCCGAGTTCTTTTTTTCGTTTATATAGACCGAGACGAAGTCGAGGTACATTACAAAGGTACATTACATATTCAGCCATCTTGACCTCACGCTTGGTCAATAGAGGATTTATTATTTGCAAAAATATTTCGCTGTAAGAAGAATCAAGAACAACTTGTTTATTTCGAGAGCCGGGAAAGAAAAATAACTGTGTTGTAGTATAATGTACCTAAGAGGCTCGTTTAATTATTTCTTGTTTTGACTGTCTTCTGCCGCTTTGTGCGACTTCGTCGCCGATATTGTCCAAATGTTACGAACTTTGTAGGTCTGTTCCACGCACTTTTTCTCTGGTGCAGGATTAACGCGGGCAGTCCTGAGCGGGCAGGATGGGCCCATCTTGCCCGCACGGGACAGCCAATCATGGGCGCTGCCAGCCATATAATAAGAACCATTGGTAAATCTCTCAGATAGTACGCGCAGTATGATTGGTCAATTGTGTAGGCCGTATTTCACTGTGCGGCCGCTGAATTTGAAACTTTGTTTAAATCTTCCCCATCGTAACTAACAGTAAGGACCTCAAACCCGGTTAGTTTAAGGTATTCAGCCGGTCAAAGCCGTAGGGTATTCTGCCATCTTTACCCGGCTGCCTTCACCTCATTTATCACTTGTGTTGGTAAAAAAATCGTGCAATTATTGAAACGGCATCGAAGAAATTTGTACAGCAACCAAACCAGGGTCATATACCACTGTTAAGTAAAATCAACAGCAAATAATGTAGTTTCTCTTGAGAAAATGGAATGCACAGTTTACTACTGTAGCGGTAGCGATATGTAATTAAATCAATAACACTATGTTTACTGAGTGGCTAAATTGGTTATCTATTTAGAGAGTGCAGAAAATATTCCATTGAGCGTGATATGAAAGCGATGAAGTTGATGCAAATAACTAGAATATATGATAAGGACGACGAGTTGTCCATGCATAGTGGAATATTTCTTTACATTTCCCGACGATGCCGTTGATCGGCGAAAACGTGGAATAAAGAAAGAAATACTGTAGCTCATGGCCTCAATCGAATCGTCCGTTGATCTTACATCTTAATTTTTACTTCTGATAAATAGTATCATAAAGTTCGGTGGAAAGTGGAACTCTTGGTAAATTACCAAATTCAATTTGCTGTTACTAGTAATTCAAGAAGCTGTCCTGGTCATAGCATTACAGTTTCGCTGTAACATAAACTTAATTATTTGTTTGCAAAGTTGTGAACGAACACTGTCCTGTTGCTCTGTGGATAGTAAACACTTTGTTGTTGCCGGCATTTCGACACGTGTCTTTTTGAGCGCAGAAAGTCTCTATTCCTTTGTTGAAGTATTTACGTTTACGGAAGCTGGACAACATTCCATTAATCATCAGCTGGTGACATGATTTCTAGATACTTTTGACCAAGCGTCTACTTTCCTGATCCTCTCCAGACCTTTAATATTGCATTGTAAAACGTGTTCATTCAATTAAAATCGTTTAAAATTTAAAACAATAATCATCCTTAAGAACCTAGTCCCCAAGAGACGTCATATCAGATTTTTCACGTAATCAAGCATTGTTCAGTGGCAAGGTTTTTTGCATATTATTACCGTAAGGATTCCACGCATACAATAAAACGCTTCTCGTCCGTCGCTGATTTAAGCAACGATTGTTTACTGAGGCTGTTACGAGAACGTCAAGATGGCAAGGTCTGGTACAGATATGACATTTTTATAACCATTATGTAGTCGGGAGTTTGTACATGTACCGTTAGAGGCAATTTTAGTACCACTGGTACCAATAAGTGGTACCAAGGGGGCCACAAGCGGATGTTTATCAACTGTGAAGCACATTGTGAAAATTAACTATGGATAGCACACAGGGAGATACCTTCAATAATAATACTTTTCTCGTGGATAGAGAAAGCGAGGGAAGATTGAGTCTCAAGAAAAGTCATGAAAATGACGCTGATGAGGTGAGAGAAAGCTTCAGTTTATATTAGCGCACAAAACATTTCTCCAGTCACGAAAAATTTCTTTGTTGTCAACTTTGCACGAAGTCTCGAAGTCACTGATTCTTACAAAGAAGTTTTTCAAGTTTTCAAGAGAGTTACTTAGTATCGCTCATTTGACGGCCTGATATCGCTTTAGGGAGCTACGTTGTAGTGTTTCGCTTTGTTGGTAGCCGGCTCTGTGACTAAATTCAAACAATAGCCACTCCAAAAGACGCGTGAACGTTTGTATAGGTAACCGGTCAAGTCGCCCGAAAGTCATCTCGCCCAACTTCATGTCGCCCGGAACCAGAGTCATGTTAGCCGATATTTTGAGTCTTGTCGCCCGAACTTTTATCAAGAGTGTTTAAACCTAAAGAAAAGTAACATCTTAATTAAATCGTAAGGAATAAACCCGTAAAATGTTGACTAGTAAACTGTTTTGGTCCGCTAACCTACGAGAGACTCAATACCGCTGTTCATTTCAGCGTTGTTCGTTGCTCTGAACTAAACCGCTCATTTTACAGTACAGATTTTAGTAATTATAAGCGGAACACTGTCAGTAAACTGTGAACATAGTTAATAGAGGGAACTATAAAGAATTTCACACCGTTATGTTTACCTAGAGTTTGAAAATATTCAGAAGATACATTTTGAATTATGTGCTTTCTTTTATGCGGAATGGCTTTGGTCATGTCAAATTTAAACTTTTGGATTTTCTAGAAATTCTTCCTGTAATTCCATTAAGGAATGAATGAGTGAGTGAAAATTTAATCAACGTGTCAATGTTTTTAGCTGTAGATTAGCTAACTGGCAACCGACTTAACTAAAGTCTAAAGGCTAATAACTAGTGTACAAAAATTCATAAGTAACTGTTAAAATACTTGATAACAGCATAATAATTATAAATACTATGAAATGATATAAAATGATTCTGTTCACGATTTATATGGTTTGCATCAAGTACTACTGTCGTCAATGAGGTCTTAAATATAGCTAGAGTTGGTGACCTCCTTAATTCCAGCCTTAATTCAGGTCTGGTCGAAACTAAGCTAGTCGAAACTAGCTTACTTTCGACCAGATATATGGACCCTTTCATCTTATTGTGTGTTTACCATAACTTATAGTGTTAAAACAAGGTGTTTCAAATCCCAGTTTCTGTGGCAGTATTCAGTGAGAGTTCTTAGTTTTGAATATTCTGGATAAAACACTATTATTTATATATTGTCAACGGATAATGATTCTGTGTGAAGATGAATACCGCCTGAAAGCCAAATCATATATATTATAGAAGATTTTTTTTCCTTTCTTTAGGTCGAAAATCTCGAATTGCGGATCAAAGAGCTCATAGAACAAAATATGAGACTAAGAGATAAAGTGGTGGAGGAACAAGAAACAGGTAAAAGATACCAAGAGGAGCTACTCAGAAGCCAAAAGAGATGCACGGAAATCGAGAGCTGGTATAACGGAAATCAGGACAGCATTGTAAAAAAACTTCAAGAGGAAAAGGAAGAATTAGATAAAGAAGTGCAACATCTAAAGAGAGACCTCTCCAGTCTGAACATACCTAATGGTAACCAGGATGCAGATATTTTAGAATTAGGGATGGAGCTCTCACGAACCAAACAAGAACTTGAAGTATGTAAGGAATCTATGATAGTGCTACAAGAGGAGAAAGAATCATTAAAATACGATTTACATGTGGTTTCAAATAAAATAGCCGCAATACAGGTGAAAACTGAATTTGAAGAAATGCGAAGAAATGAGCACGAAAACTCTTCTATATTGCATGACCTAGATGCTATTCGAGACCAACTCCAAATGTACCGAGAAAATTGTACTGGATTAGAAAATGAGGTAAAGATATACAAGGAAAAGCTGGATATTTGTAATGAGGAATTAGCCGCCACAAAAAATGAATTTGTCGAGTTTAAGGAAATCAATAATGTTGAAAAAAACGAAATGGCCAAAATTGAGAAATCTTTATCCGACTCAAAAATGAAGCTGGGAAATTCCGAAGGAGATCTGAAAGACCTAAAAGCTGAAAACCTTTATTCTAAGCTGCGCATTCAAGAACTAGAGGAGAAAATATGTCGGCTTGCAAAGCAGAAGGACGAGTCAGGCCTTGACCTCCATAAAACAGACAATTTGAAAGTAGAATCAAAACCAACACCAAAAGAAATTGATTTTGACCAGCATATTCAGGACCTAGAGGCGGGAATATCGTTGATTAGTCGAAAGCTTTCTGAATCAGAGACAGAGTTATGTCGGAGCCAATCACAGGTTGAAGAACTAAGTCTACAATTGAAGGAATCGCTTAATAAAATAGCAGAATTAGAGTCACGACCCGGAAATGAGGCGAAGGAAGGCAATGCAGATGCTAATTCCCTTCTCCAACAAGCAAAAAGGCAGACGACTGCGATTCGTTTTACGCTTCAGAGAAAAGAAAAAGAAAACAGAGACCTCGAGATGAAGCTTAAGGAAACTCGCGAAGAGATGCACATAATGGAAATCCATGCAAACGTTTGCGAAGCGGAGAGATTTCAACTAAGAGAAAACTTTGAGAAAGAAAAAGAGCAACGTTCTTATCTGCACGACGAGTACCAAGCTTTGCAGCAAGGCATTACAGAGCAAAGAAAAAGAGAAGGAGAACGTAAGAAAGAACTTGAAAAGAAGAATGCAATTATTGCTGAGCTTAAAGCCATGGCCGCCGGCATGGAATTGAAATACCACGAGCTTTGTGAAAAACACACCGCTATACAGGAGCTGCAAGAGCGGTTTGAAAAAGAAAACCAGGAAATTGAAGATGATCTCTTGCAGACTCAAAGGGACATGGCAGACATGCAAGTGAATTTCAAGCTGTCTGAGAACGAAAAAGAGCATTTGATCCGACAATTTCAAACTGCGAAAGAAACCATTGCTGACCTACAGTCCAAGTTCGAATTGGCCGACCAAGGCTTTAAGGAGAAGCAACATGAGCTTACTTTGACGAAACAACGCCTGGCAAGAATGGAAGAAGAGCTGGAAGAAGCATCTAAGAGTAAATCAGAGTTAGAATTCCAGCTATACGAAAGTAGTGCGAATGCTATAAGGAAAGGCGAAGAGGACATCAATCTAGAGAACCAGTTAGAAGACCTTCATAGAGAAAATGAAGGACTTCGGCACCAAATTTCGGGAGAAGAGCTTTTCGTGGAGGGACTCAAGGATAAAATATGCTCCTTAGAAACTGATCTAGCCACCCTTAGGACTGACATGTCATATACAGAATCCTTACTTGACACTAAAGAAGAAGAACTTAAGAGACTAACCTTGAAATTGAAAAGTAGTGAAGAAGAAATCAGGCGTCTGGCAGACATGTGTGAAAACACAATTCAAGAGAAAGGCAACCTTGAGATTGACCTGTCGGTGGCCAGAAAGAAGATTGAGACATTGGAATCTTTCATCAAAGAAAAAGAATACAAAGAGAGCAGTCTGGTGAGAACTCTCCAAGAAAATCGCAGCAAATTTGTCTACAAAGAGACAGACATTGCTTCATATCGTTCAAAAATTGCTTCATTAGAGCTGCAAAATGAGACTCTCTACAAAGAGAAGGAGGAACTCTGCAGCAAGGTTGAAGAACTTCAAGACAAAGCTTCCATGATGAAACAACAGCTAGAAGAAGTTTTGATTTCAAGAGATCAAACAATCCGACGGCGGATGGAACTAGAAGAAAAGGTTATTGAAATACAACAGGATCTCGATGAATCTGCTAAGACAAAAGCACAACGTGAGGAGGAACTTCAGGATCTAAGGAGCAAAATCGTGAAGTACGAAGTTCAGATCGAATCTTTGAAAAGGCAGAATGAAGAACTTCAAGAAAAAATAGTTGAGACTAATATTCAGGTTGTTAACCAAAGAGAAGAACTGATGAAATTGGAAATCACAGCAACCGAACACGAAAAACTGTTAGCGTGTGCAAAATCTAATTTGGAGCAAAAGACAAAAGAACATGAACACTGCGAAGGCGTAATGAAAGGTTTACAAGCCGACTTGAATAAAGTGAAAAACGAACTGATCACAAGCAAAATATCTCATCAATTTGCTTTGGACGAGAACAGCAGGCTAAGTAGAAAGATCCAAGAGCAAGAGACAAAATTGGGTCTTTTTGAACAAGACGTTTCTGATGTAAACGAGGAAAACAAGCGCGTGAACATCGATCTGGGATCTCAAACAGCAAAAGCCAACAGTCTTCATATCCAGTTAGGGTCTACTGCTCGTGAAAAAGAGCGTCTTAAAGAAGATCTAAGGGTCGCCAAAAGTAAAGTACATAAGCTTCAAGAGGACCTTATGCTTGCAAATAATAAAGTTCGAGAAAAGGAAAGAATTGCAGAGAGTTACAGGGTGGAAATGTGCGAAAAGGACAGCCATATTGAACAACTTAAACACTTAAAAGATTCCCTAGGAGAGAAAGTGCTGGCGCTGAGAAAGGAACTGCAAACCACTGCCTTCTATCACGAATCCAGCGAGTCAAAGTTGAAAACCACTCGAGATGAAATTTCGTCACTAAAACTTAAACTGAGCCAATATGAAGCGACTGTTGATACTCTTTTGAAAGAACGAGACCATAAAGACAAGGAATACGAGGACTGTTCTCAACAACAGCATTTTCATCTATTGTTGAAAAAGAGTGAAGAACAGCAAGCCATTCTTGAAAAACAGATAGAAAACAACAAGGCTAAGGTAACAAAGCTTGAACAAGACCTTAAAATTTCTCGTCAAGATTGTCTCGACTCTCAGTTTGAAAATTCGAAATCCCAACGACTCCTTGAGGACCTGAAAGTTGCAAATAACCTGTGCGATAAGGAGAGACGGAACTTACGTGAAGAGGTTTTGGAAGTAAACAGAACGTTATCGGACTTGGAACTCAAATATGAGAATGAGCAAAGAGACAACTTGGCCTTGCAAGCTCAGTTACAAGAGGCGAACAGCCGAAGCGCCTTAAATCGAAATGAAATACTAAAGCTCAGCAAGCAGTGTGTAGAACAAAAAATCCAGCTCGATTCCTTAACCAAGGAGAAAGAACAAAAGAACAGCCACATAGAAGAAATGAAGTCTACAAAGGCTCATTTAGAAGAAAAATCTATGGAACTGAGAGGCAATCTGACAAGCGCACTTGGTGAGTGTGAGAAACTTCGAGGAGGTCATCAACAGCTTCAAGACGAAATTATCACCCAGCAGAAGATTATTTCAAACCTAAAGGACCGTCTTCAAAAAACCTCAAAGGCTGAACAAATTGCACATGAGGAACTGAAAGTTAAAACAGCAGAAATGGAGTCCCTAAACCAAGAGTTAGTGGAAGTAAGTAACGAAAACAATGATCTTAAGATCAAAGTAAAAAGGCTAGAAAACAATCTTGTAAAGCAACGTGAAGATCTTTCTATGGCTGAAAATCAGATTGCAGAAACTCAAAAGGTTTTGTCAGAGTACAAGACAGAAATTGGAGGAAAGATAACAGCATTGACAACTTTGAAAACGGAAAACGGTGAACTGAAAGAGGAACTGTATTTGGCAAACGATTCACTGAAACGGATGAAAGTTGAAATGCAAGCTATTCAGGAAAATCAAGTGGTTATTGAGCAATCATCTGTTCTGCAGAGTGGCTTGTACAAGGATGAATCAGAGAATGATAATTCCGAGTTAAACCGATTAAACGAGAGCTTGAGTGAAGCAGAAGTAAATCTGCAGAAAAGCATCGAAAGAGAACACACCTTACAAGATCAGATAGCAAACTTAGAGATAACCCACTCTCAGTTCAAAGAAAGTATACAAGCCTTGACAGAGAGAGAAAGGATTCTGATGAGAAGGAACGAGGAATTACTGGATGAAGTTGGCATTGTTAACACTGAGATGGCAAAATCTCGCGAAGAAGCGAAGCAGGCACTTAATAGTCTCGAGATTACGCAGGAGAAGCTTGCTCAGCTTGAAGCACAAAATGGGCGATTGGAGGCTTCGCGAAGTCTTCTCACAAAAGAGCTAAAGGAAGAAAGAGGAAAAGTCGGGAAGGCAGAGGACGAGCTTCTTGAGGCACACTGCAAACTTCAGGAACTACAAGCTAAATGGGATTACAGTGCCAAGGCAACTGAGGGCAATGAAACTGTTTTGGACACAGTTATGTCCGAAAAGAAAGATTTAGAAAAGGACACTCAGACACTGAGAGATGAGCTTTCCTCTGCTCACGCCCTAATGAATGCGACCTTAAAGAAGAACAGGGAGCTAGACCATGATAATTTTCTTTTAAAGAAAGCTATAGCAGAATTTGAAACAAGAAAAGAAGGCATCGAGGAGGAACAGAGAGAACTCAGTAAGATTTTGGCACAGCATCAGAAAATAATTAAGGAGCTTCAACACCAAGTGCAGCAGAAACAGAAGGAAATTGCTACTTTGCGAGAGGAGTTAGAAAATGAACATCTCAAAGTGGCCGAGGCTAGAGAGGAGTACGATAATGTGTTAAAGAATTTGTCGCAGTTCAAAGGCGGAGTCAAAGATTACGAGAAAGCAATGTCAGAAAAAGATGCTCAAGTGTTACTCTTAGAAAACTTAAAAAACAATCTGGAGAGCGAACTGAAGAGGGAAGTTTTGAAAAGCAAAGAAACCCAAGAAAGGCTAAAAGAAGAGGAAGAGAAACTCAAGAGAATCATCCAAGAGAATGACAATCTGATTTCCGAGTTCAAGCTCAGTATTTTGAAAATGAAAGAGAGAAATGATAAATTGCAGGCCGATGTGGCTGACTTAAAACAAAGCGCAAGTGAAAAGGATACTCAGCTTCACAACGCTCAAAAAGAAGCCAAAAGGTTGAACAGCGAGTTCCTTTCTCAAGGCTCGGTCATTGCAGCGCTCCAGACTAAAAATAACGTTACGACAGAGGAAAATCAAAGCCTTAAAGATGAATTGAATAAATTGAAAAGTAATTCTTCAGAACAACAAATCCAGGTAGAGGCTTTACGACATGAGAATGAAAGGCTGCAGAAGAAATTAAACGAGATTCAAGTTCCAAAGAGTCCGTTACTGAAAAGGTTGCAGACACCTAAGAACACAATGGAACCTGATCTGGTAAGCCTTAAGAGGCTGATAGAGCTTGAAAATGCATATCAGAATCTTTCTCTAGAAAAAGAAAATATCCAAAGCAACAATACAAGTTTGGAAGAAAGGATCTTACAGCTTGATGAAGAAATTAATTCCTACATTGCAAGTAAAGATTCCTTAGAGAAAGAGATGGTTTGGAAAGATAAACGGATAACTGAGCTCGAACAGTTGTCAAGAAAAGCGGAACACTCCGCGCAACTCAATCGAAATGAACTGCAAACAGTTTCTATGACCATGAATGAAATGGAACGGGAGCTGAATTCGGCTCAAAACGCCCTAAATGGATTAGAAGAATGTAATGCCACTTACGAAGAGACGATCAAGCATTTAGAGGGTCAACTAATTGGGCTTCAACAGAAGAACTCTCAGTTGGAAAAATCTCTGGAAAACAGTCAAAGCAAGTTTAACTCTCAAAGGAATGAATTGATGAATGCGCTCTCGAGAGTTTCTGATTTGGAGAGTGCGAAAAAATCAAAGGCAAGTAGTAATGATGAGCTTCTTATAGACTTGCAGTCCTGTAGAAACAAAGTCACGTCGCTTGAAGAGGAACTATGTGCTTCTGCTAGAGAACAAGTGAAGGCAAATCTTACTGTCAGAGAATTGAAAGAGAAAAACGCAAAACTGCAAAATGACTTGCAACAGATACAAAGTCAGCTGAGGGAAGAGAAGCAAGACCGTGCCATGAATGAAAAGGAAATTCGAGAGAAAAATGAGGTCATGAAGAAACTGCAGCGAGAAAATCGTGAGCTTGAAAACGAAATTACGGAAGCATCCAAAGAATTGAATGCTAAGGCAGCCGAAAGTCTCACTATGGTAAACAAGCAGGAGGAAACACAAGAGGAATTAGATGCTTTGGGAAAGCAAATTCGAGAGCTTGAGTCGCTTCTTTTGAGAGAGAAAGGAGAAAATGAGAAGTTAAGGTTGGAAACGTCTGCCACTCGTCAGCTCTACAGCGACTTGAAAGCTGCTTACGACAACCTTCTTGAAGAAATAAACAGCTCCCAAGACCAATTGGAAGACAAAGAATTAAAAAAATCTGTTGAACTAAAAAAATCGTCCATTGAAAAAGATCAATTGAACAAAGAGATTCAATTATTAAACAAGAGGGTGTCGATGTTCAAAGAAAACAACGAGAAAATTCAGCGAGAAAAGAGAGAATTGGAAAAGAAGGTGAAGATGATGCAGCAACGACTCTTAATTTTAGAAGCAGATGAAAAGACTGTTGAGACCATAAAAGCGCTGCAGACAGAGCTCGAGGAAAGTAAACAGAAGATTTATGACCTCAATGCGATGTACGAGGCCGTAAGGTTGGAGCGAGACAACCTTCGCACGGAGAATATAAAGCCAACGTCATCGAGAGGGTTTGCAAGATACCAGCCAAAACTGAGAGAAGCCAGTGCATGTTTAGAAAGTTTGACTCAGCATTCTAAACTTCATGAACAGGCTGCCGCTAAAAAAGATATGTTGGAGTTGCAAGCGAAGGCGATGTTACTTGATGAGAAATTGAGAGAAGCTCGAGAGCGACTTGAAGGATTAAAAACTCTTCCACCAAAAAGTGACAAGAGCATGTCTGAGAGTACAGAGAGTGGCTCTGACGAAACGAGTGAGGAAGACGAAACGCAAGAAACGGGGCAACGCAATGGCGTTGTGGATGGCCCTTCACAGGAACCAGACTCTTAAGTACAACCATAGGTTTTGATCGGTATCAAATTTCATAGGTCTCATTTAGATATGGCAGGTGTTCCAAGGCCACACTCTCCCGAGACAACTTGAGTTACCAAGAGTATGTTAGCCTCTATTGAAACGGCTAGGTTAAGTTAAACACTAAGCGAAATGGCGGGCACAGGAGCTTGCTGTCCGTCCTTCCGTCTGAACTTTCCTTTCTAAGTTGCGTGAGCGAAGGCTCTTATCTGCGAGGAAAAGATGTACTACCTGAGGAGATTATTGGGACTACCCATAGTAACTCGCGGTCGGAATGGGATTCATTTGGTATTGAGAACTGCGCGTCTAAAGGGGCTCATGGTGAATAGTGCGCTAGCCTATTATAATTCGCGGTGCGATTGTCTAAAAAGTTTTTTAGGTAATCCGCTATGACATCAGATGCAATAATTTGATGGTTTTAAGACTTTTTAAGACTGTAGACTCTATATGTGTTGTCACATCAAAAGTCAAACCCCAGGTGAATTTGACAATCCATCTCTGGACTTATATTGAGTAACAAACAAGGCCAGGTGTGTGATTAAGTCCGGAATCTTTTGCACTTGAAACGATGCTTGGTGGCTACATTTTAAGAAATTTTAAAGAGAACTGAGTAAATAGTGGTTTCAACGAAACATCTTTGAGTGGTTCATGTTTAAACACCAAAACTTAGTAACTTATGTTTTTAGAGCAATAAGACTGAATGTGTTTCATTAGGGCGCTCATGTTGCATCAGTTTTTAAGCGAGGTTGTACTTTTATTAGTTTATCATACGGTCTTATTTCTTTTAAACGCTTTTTGCTGTGTATAAGCTTATCCTAACCTCACAAGTGTGAAGAAAAACTTGACTTGCTGCCAGTTGACAAGTTAAATAAAGACAATAACAGTTTTCCAACACTATTTAAAACTGTAAACTTGTATCTATAAAAGCATGTTGGACCTTTGAAAGCGTTCGTTATGCTATATTCCACAGTGTGCAAAACCGGAGATTCGTTGGCTTACACTTTGATTGTGACTGGTAAGCGACTTGAACCTGGGAGGCTGTTTTGAGACTTTTTTGTCTTTTTTTTTGCTATTTTTTAATTACGGATAGAAAGGCTCTCAGATTTCCAAGTCAGTCGCTTAGGGCACATGATATACGACTGCATAGCCGAGAACAGTGGAATGTAAATTAATTGCATTACCTTTGGAAAAAGATTCAGATCTTCAAAAAATGACCTGTAGATTTGTTTTTTATCCGCAGCGCCCCTAAATCTGCTCTGCCTTACTACACCCCAAGTCAGATAGAATGATTGACAGTTTGTTTGGTAAATTTATTTATTTATTAACTTCGCCAAACAGCAACACTCAAGAAAAAAAGATGGCAGGGACACCGCAACAGCGTAGCCAATTACAGCGGGCCCAATACATGCCTTAATAACGGAAAGTTAATTCGTCTTTAAATAAATTGCTTTTTCACAACAGACGAGATTGCTTTTTGACGTTTGACTTCAAAAATAGCCACCCTTCGCTAACAAAATTAGCTGCCTACACCCTCCTTAGATAGAACACTTTGCGATCGAGTGCTGCAAATCAAAATCGGAGATTTTCTTAAAAGTCAATCAGGAGAATGGAAAATATCACAGTGAGCTAATGAGAAGTCAATGGCAAGACATGTCAGCGGTCTTAACCGTCGGAAACTGAGGCGAGTTGCAAAGTCGTGATTATTAAATATTTTGCATTTGATTGGTTAAAAAAGTGGCGCGACTCTTCAAGGTCAATTACACAATTTATTAAAACAACAGCATTGCAATATAGAATTATCTTCGACACACAAGTGAGGGCTGCTTTACTGCTAACTTACGTAAAACTAGTTAAACACTGACTGGATCCTTGTTTGTGGTAATAGTGTTATTGATAAACGAAAGCATCATTTTAACGTCAATAAAGACACCATATTGTCCTACATTTGAACACACGTCTTCAGCAGAAGCTACCCCTGTTAACACATATCGTCCATCGATCCCAGGACAAACTAGAGGTGCACCTCTTTCGACATTGCAAACTTGGGCTTCTTCTCGGGTGAAGTTTGCACAAATTTCATACTCGGAGAGTTTTCCAGTATAAGAAGCATTACAGTCTTGAAATGGGGTCATTTCAACTCGGGCTTCGTTTAACACAGCCGTTAAATTCCCGTCCTTTTTGGGAGACTGCCAACCAGTCACATAACACGAAGAATTTACAGTAACGTTTGCATCTTCTTCCGCGAGACAGATAGGAAGAACTCGCTTGTGAAGGACAGCTTCTCGTTTCATTTTCAGCAGTGAGATATGATGTTTTGGACTGGTGTAAATTTCTTTCACTTTAATGCTTTCTTCATATCTCTCGATGACTGTTCGGTCGTGTTCACCGAGCCGAACCGTCCAGTCATCAACACTATGGCTTGTGTTCACGCAAGTTGCCGATGTCAGAACCCAGTACCGGTCGATTAAAGAGCCGCTACACGCATGCTTATCACTGAATAGCAGCTGAACCTGCCATGGCCAGGAGTTGGGACGAGCTTCGTTTTGGCTGAGAGCAGGAGGAGTTTCCGAAGATAGAAATCGGGTGCCACACTTTGGATGACCTAAACAAAGTGATGAAAACAATTGACTTTTATCGGAGAATCACCGTCACTAAAATAACAATCTGAAATAAAGAAGTTAACTTTCTCTTCAGTACGGTTATTGAACAGGGTGTAACCCTATGTCAGTGTTCTGTACTTAAAATTTTTTGTCTTCTTTCTGATTTCAAATATGTCAGATGCGAAATTTTCGAAAACAGGGCACACCTGCTCAAAATAAATGTTAAGTCAGAAACAGCAAAACGTCACTCAGTCGACTAGGTCAGCCTTAAGAGCGAACTCGACCTGTAAGACACAGCAAGAGCTGGGCCAAGTTGTATAAAGGGCGGAGTACACTATCCAACGGATAAATCGCTATCCAGCAGTTGAGTGATAGCAAAACGTACAGCGTTAACCACTGGATAGGGATTTATCCATTGGGTAACGTTTTCCGACCTTCGAACAACTAGGGCCTGGACGTTAACGAATCTAAAATGCAACCGATGCTGACATGATGTTTTTCTTACGCTTAGTGTGCTTTTCCACCAGTTCATTGTCCTTAAAACTAAACCAAAGTTGTGCCAATGGCCAATCGGAACAAAGAAAATAATGAAAAGGCAGGAAAGACAACCAAACAAGGCTGCGATTTGTTTTTGTTTTGCTACTGATTTGTTGTCATCGGGGGCAAAACGTTTCTCATGGGCCAATCACAGAGTGAAACAAAAGTGCAGTTTGTTGGGTTATTATACTCGACTTACCGTATAGGGTACTTTCAATGAATGGCAACATGTAGCGCACATCTAAATACACGCCATATTTATTAGCTCGGGCGCAACCTTCTCCCCAGCTTACAACGCCGGTCAGAATGAAACGACCATCTTCATTTTGACATGCCAGCGGTCCTCCGCTATCACCGCTACACGAGTCCTTACCGCCGGCTTGAAAACCAGCGCAAAGATAACGTTCGGGTATTCTACCATTGTAAGAAGTATTGCTATTACAGACTTCTTTAGATACGAGGTTCACCTCCACTTCTCGGAGAACATCCGAGGTCTTAGTTGCATTTTCTTGTTGCTTTCCCCATCCGGTGGCAAAACATGTTTTACCAGGTGGAAAGCTAGTTTCCATATCAGGCAAACATATTGAGTGCACTCGGCTGTGAAACACCGCTGGTCGCTTGAGCTTGACGAGGGCGAAGTCGTAATCTCCGGGTTCGAAAGTCATGTCTAATCCTGGATGTAACGTGACGTTTTCAATCTCGATCTTTTCCTCGTAGCCTTCGAATTTTGTCTCGTTATGCTCCCCAACCCTAACATGCCACCAGTTTACTGGGGGAATAAAATAGAAACAATGGGCTGAGGTCACGACCCATAAAGGATCAATTAGCGAGCCTCCACAATAGTGAGAAGTGCCATTAACAAGAAGATCAACTTGCCACGGCCAAGTGTTGGGGCGAGCTTCCAGGCCTCCTACGATTCGAGAGGAAGGAGAAGGAACTGGACGAACGCCACAGGAGGGATATCCTAAAAAGATAGTGAAGTTACCAGACAGAGGGGATTAGAAAGTTAATGAAAATCCTCTTCACGGACCTTTCTTATAGTTTTGACGGCTAAGATTGCTTTTGGATGGATCCAATGCCAAGTTTAAGGTTCTTAACCTAAAATAAGATGGGTAAGGACCAAAATCTTGGCAATTCTTAACAAACGACTGAATTCCCCCAAATATTATCATTATATTCTTCTTCAGTTATATATTTCTTTTCATGCCACGTTCTTTGAATCGTGTAGATAGCTATGAGTTTACTACTTTCTCAGGATCTTCTTCAGCGGTGCTGTTCCTAGCAGTGTGTGAGTGTCTCTCATATATGAACCTTATTATATGTCCCTGTACATGAAGGACGGAAATCTGTAGGCTTATTTCGGTTAGTAGAGAATCCTACCACGAGAACGGAACCGCTTACGTTCGATTCCTTGCCCGGGCCTGAGTTTTTTTTCTGTCACCCAACCTCGTGTCAAACGTTTAAAATGTTTTATTTTCATCCTCCTCACCGTCACCAACAACTAAATCACAACACCAACTTTATCCTTTATTATTTCACTTCTCTCGTTGCAAGGAGAACATCCCGAAAAAAATCTCCCGGAACTCATTGCAACGTCATTTAAATTAGCTATCAAACTAGCGTGCGTTTTTATGCACTTACCGTGTAGAGTGCTTTCAATGAATGGCAACATGTAGCGCACATCTAAATACACGCCATATTTATCAGCTCTAGCGCAGCCTTCTCCCCATGAAACAATTCCGGTCAAGGTAAAACTTCCATCTTCCTTTGGACAGGCCAGTGGCCCTCCACTGTCACCCACGCACGAGTCTCTACCTCCAGCTTGAACACCGGCGCATAAATAACGCTCGTGTATAATCCCATTATAAGAGATGTTGCTGTTACAAACTTTTTTAGATACCAGGTTCACCTCGACTTCTCGAAGAACATCCGAGTACTCATTCGCATTTTCTTGTTGCCTTCCCCATCCGGTGGCAAAACAGGATTGACCAGTTGGTAGACTAGTTTCCATGTCTGGAAGACAAATGGCATGTACTAACTTATGGAAAACCGCTGGTCGCCTGAGTTTCACGATCGCAATGTCGTAATCGCCAGGATGTTTTCCATTGCCTATTTCGAATCCGGGATGGATTGTTATGCTTTCAATATCAATCATTTCCTCGTATCCTTCGAATTTCGTCTCGTTGTGTTCGCCAACCCTGACCTGCCATTGGTCTGGTTTAGTGTACTCGTAGAAACAGTGAGCTGACGTCACGATCCATAAAGGATCAATCAGAGAGCCTCCACAATGGTGAGCATTGCCATTGATCAGAAGATCAACCTGCCACGGCCAGGAGTTGGGGCGGGCTTCGCGACCACCAACGATGCGAGACATAACGGATGGAAATGGCCGATTACCGCATTGTGGGTAACCTGGAAAGAAAATTTCAAAAGTTTCGAGGAGTTTAAGTGTATCATTTAAGATAACTGCAGTTAAATTTATTCTCACGAAGATTCATAATCCTTGGCCGTGAAGGACACGAAAAGCTATGAAGTAGCAGATGATCTACTGTTGAGTTAATAGGCCATTTCCGAATTACCCTTGGCCTCGTTTTGAAAAAGAAACTTTATGCTCAACCATTCTTGTGCAAATGAGTTCAATTTACATGTGAATGAAAACCTATCATATAAAACCTATCATATAAAAGGATGTGCACCAGCACTCGCTTTCAAAAGGAGGCTAAAGGTAATTCGGAAACGGGTTATTAAAACACAGAGATAAACTACAACAGTGTTTGGTTTGAAGCGGCTAAGAATGGATGAGTAAGTGTTCAAAGCATGTTCAACACTAAGATCGGGAGAGTTATAAAATACGCATTAGTCTCACAGTTTTTAGTAAAATGCTCTTCAACAGTTCATCCGATGAGCATTAGGTGTTGTTATACATGTATATTCTCGATTGCAAAAACGTGACACCTAAGATCCCACGGATTTATGGGAAATTTTCGCACAGTTACATATTCAGTGCTTTACTTTTTCCATTATTCATGGAATATCTTTGTTTACAACGATTCTTTTCTGTCAGGAAAGCGCGACTGGCTTATATCATTTACCGAGTGCAATGGTGGTTGTCATGGACACTGATGTGTACCCATAAAGCCGTTTGGTCACACCGCTCATAAATAATGTTTTTCAGCTGTGAACGTTTTTGCAATCGAGTGTATATTTTATTAGCATCTACTTTAGTGCGTACCATATATGGTGCTTTCAATGAAGGGAAGAAATCTGCGGACATCAGCGTAAACCCCATATTTTTGCGCTCTCGCACATCCGATGCCCCAGGTCACCACACCAGCAAGCACCCATTTTCCTTCGCCATCTTGACACACTAGGGGCCCCCCACTATCTCCTTGACAAGCGTCTTTTCCACCTTCAGGATATCCTGCACACAAGTAACGCTCCTTAATGTGACCGTTATACGAGTAATTTTTATTGCATTCCTCCAAAGAAACTATGGGCACTTCGTTCTCTTGGAGAATATCGGAAAAATTTCCATTTTCTTTAGTATGACCCCAACCGGTCAAGAAGCACATTCGGCCAACTTCGTCGATGATAGTGGAGTCCTCTTCGGGTAGACACACCGGACCGACTCGACTATAGAACGTCACTGGCCTTTTCAGACGGTAAAGAGCGAAGTCATAGTCCCCAGCGCTGATCATCGTCGGACGGTCGTGTTTAAAACCCGGATGTATGTAATACCTGTCTCCTTCGATAATCTCCTCGTACCCCTCGAGGACCTTGCTGTTGTGCTCTCCAATGCGTATTTCTTTTTGTGCCAATGAGTAGATTTCATCCACGCAGTGAGCGGCTGTTATAATCCATTGGGGATGAATGATGGAGCCACCGCACCAGTGCTTCGTCCCGTTTTCCAGTATTTCAACTTGCCACGGCCATGAGTTTGGGGCAGCGTTGTTGCCGCCGACAACTCGCTTTCGGCGGGAATGATGATTTTCGTCTTGTTGGCGGGTTCCGCACTTTGGAAAATCTTTGCAAAAAAAAAAAACCAACAAAAACAAAGTTCCCAATGAGTTATAACTGAGAGGAAACTTGTCAGAGATAGAAAAAATTGTATTTTTTTTAGTAAGACACACAAGTAAATTGCCAGTGGCACATTGATATGCAAATACAAATTGATTTTCTCACAGGAATGTTTTAGTGTGGTCTAGTTCAAACACTGCCTTATCATAGAATCCCGGAAAGCCCATGTTTCTTCAGACATGAACTGGTGACTATTACCACTCTAGAGCGTTACGCTAATTGACCACCTGTTGGGAACTCTCATTCCAGTGATTAAAGTCAAAGACGAAGTAATCACCCTAGCTTTGGCTCTAAACTTATACTGCTCTTTCTGAAAAGACGTTCTTCTCTTCAACTCATCTATTTAACAATTATTCCACGAGCGCGCGTTGGATATGAGATGATGGATAGCCAACGAGGCGCCTAGCTCCGAGTTGGCTATAATCATCTCATATCCAACAAGCGCGAGTGGAATAATTGTTTTATTAAAAAAATAACACCCCCAAGATATTAGACAAATCTTCTCGACTTTATTTTGTAAGAAGAAACCGGATGTTACGATGTACAGATATATTAGATTATGCTATATTGGCTCATATACCATAATCGCTGAGCCAAAAGCCAATAAAAATTCTAGAATTGCATTATCCAATGATCCAGTTTTTAATAATATGAGGTTTTATAACTTCATCGCCCACCTTCCATGCAGCCATAAATTTCTATTCGAAGAGCGATTGCACCATTCCACTCTGTAGGCTTTATGCGTAAAAACCGCGCTATTTTAAGTTCCTCTAGTTGGGTGGTTTTGACATCATGTCTGTTTCCACTGCCTTCAAAGACCTGGAGAGTATTTTTTATAAATAGTTAGTGTATTTGAGACTTGTTAATTTTATTAGTGTGAAAACAAATGCTCAGTTTAATCTGCTTTTCTCGATTATATAAGAAAAATTGGTAAATGTTACTCTCGGGGATCAAAATAACAGTAGCCGTGCAAATTGGTTTGGTTTAACGATCAACTCCAATCAAAAGCATCCCTTTCACTTATTTCCTTATGAAAAGGGCATGGTTTTTAGTTTTAGTCTCGCAAATATTGACAATTCCTCTGGGATCGTGTTATATGGTCTGATCGCTCTGAAAATTGAACTAGCACCCCAGGGAAAAGCGAAAGAAAACTATGTTTAAGAAAAAATGTTTAACTTGGCAAGATCACTTGATAAAAAAGATTTATTCGTGATCTATTCTATATTGTAACATAACCAAAGTAAGGTACGCGCTCTGATTGGTCAATTCAGTGTCCACCATTTGCTCATGGGTGTACGCTGCTGGCGTGAGCATATGCAAAGACTAGTTTCCGCTCTGGTTTTTTCTGGTCACGAAAGATTTCAGTATTACATAAAAGGGAACTTTTTTGCTACAATGTATCAATGTTATGTTTTAAAACAAATGGTAAACACCACAGCGTACATTATTGGGTTATGGATGCACTTGGGAGGTTCGCAAAGCACTCTTACGCTTCTTTCGTGCTTAGCAACCTCCCGCGTGCATCCATAACTCAATAGTGTACGCTCCGTTATTTACTATGGAGGGGACTACTGGACAAAATTGTTATTAGATCGTGTGCGGTGAGGCATTATATCGTACTGCATGGTTATGTAGCCGGAGGTACTATATCGTACCCGGTATGTTGTCTTATCGTAATGGCGATGCCATTATGCCGTACCATATGGTGCTATCTCGTGCCCGATAATGTTACATCGTATCCGGTGTGTTGTTGTATCGTAGCAGAGATGCCGTCTCATCGTACTTGATAATGCTATATCGTAGTCGATAATGCTATATCGTACCCGGTGTATTGTTACGTCGTAGCAGTGATGCCGTTTCATCGTACCATATGCTGCTATGTCGTACCCGATAGTGCTATATCGTAACCGGTGATGCTTTATCGTACGTCTAACTGGTCAGTCGGAGGTACTATATCGTACCCGGTATGTTGTCTTATCGTAATGGCGATGCCATTATGTCGTACCACATGCTGCTATATCGTGCCCGATAATGCTACATCGTATCCGGTGTGTTGTTGTATCGTAGCAGAGATGCCGTCTCATCGTACCTGATAATGCTATATCGTAGTCGATAATGCTATATCGTACCCGGTGTATTGTTACGTCGTAGCAGTGATGCTGCTTCATAGTACCATATGCTGCTATGTCGTACCCGATAATGCTATATCGTAACCGGTGATGCTTTATCGTACGTCTAACTGGTCAGCGGCTTACGGTGAAATTGGCGCGAAACTGACATCACGTGTTCTAGAACGCGATCGTTCTCGACTTTTACTTCTCTTGAAACGCGGTATTGGACAAGTAGAGATTTTTAGCTTAGGTGTGTGTTTCTTTCCTCTAATCTGTTGATATGTCAGATCAATTCACGAGGTATGTCAAATTTTGGTCTCCCCTTAAAACCTGTCTTCATTACTGGAAGCGAGCTTGAGCAGCAAATTTCCTCATCCTTGTCAATTGTAGAAAGCATCCGTTGAGCCTCAAGTAAATACCTGAGAAGTGAATCTTCTAAATTGCCACCTACTCCCAAAAGCAGAGCACAAATCCAGTCAATCTTGTACCTTGCAAAGTCGATGTTGACGATGTAATCTGTGCTCCGCAACTTGTTTATGACATCACTCAACACTGCACTGATATTCGTGGAGACCAATTCAAACGGAGACTGGTGTTGGCCTTCCATATCATTACCTTTTTCACCATTTACAAGAATAAGTCTTTCACAGAAAAAGTACGATAAGCCACTTCACGGGCCTAAAATAACAACCGCTGACCTTTTTATCCCAGTGGTCACGTGACTTCACTTCAAGTGTAAGCCACTGACTAGTTAGACGTACGATAAAGCATCACCGGTTACGATATAGCATTATCGGGTACGACATAGCAGCATATGGTACGATGAAACGGCATCACTGCTACGACGTGACAATACACCGGGTACGATAGAGCATTATCAAGTACGATGAGACGGCATCTCTGCTACGATACAACAACACACCGGATACGATGTAGCATTATCGGGCACGAGATAGCAGCACGTGGTACGACATAATGGCATCGCCATTGCGATAAGACAACAAACCGGGTACGATATAGTACCTCCGGCTACGTAACCATGCAGTAGGATATAATGCCTCACCGCACACGATCTAATAACAATTTTGTCCAGTATTCCCCTCCATAATTTACCATTGAATAAAAAGAAAACTCGACAGCGTCACTCTCCGATTCAAGGAAAAACTGCTGGAGAAAAATTCTCCTTGAAACACTTTACAACTTCCTTGGCTAGTGTCCTTTTTATGAAGTAAATGATTTATTTTTTCAAAATTTTTCCGTAATAGCTACGTTTTTCCATGTCAGGTTTCATCGTTCGATTGCAAGGGAATAGAGAACAAGAAAAACTAAATATCCCTGGGAGGTCCTAAGAGACACCCTTATGTAAATTACCATGTAAAAAAAAAGGTACCTCCGATATATCTTCCCAGCGTTTGGCATCCATGCTAAATGATAACGAAAACTTTGACACCCAAAAGTCATTGGTAGGATGACCCTGGATGGCGACCGCTGACACCTTAGCTTTGTTTCCGAAATCAATCTGGAGAAATTGATTGGCGTCTTGAATAAGCGGCATCCATGCACCGTTACCATGGAGACGTGCCTGTGCAGGATCGTGGGCGCTGTCCCGAATTGACGAGGCGGTTATGTCGGCGTTCTGAATCCAGTATGTTTGCAGGCCAAGTGAAGTGTTACAGTTTGATCCTACGGTAAAAGAGGTTGTTTCAGTCACCTAGGAAATTGCAGTGAAATTCTCCACTTCTGATGGGTTCCCTCTCGTTCCCGCCCGAACTAAACTCTTATTGTTCGAGAAGGAAAGCTTGCACTTCTTTTACCCTTATTCTGAAAGAGTGGGTATCAATAGAGTGATGGCTTTCACGGCGAACATTTTGGTCATTTTATGGCTAACAGTTAAGTTTTTTTTGAAAAGTTACAGATTGATCTCAATTATTTTGAGTTCATAATTCATTTCCATTGTTCTGTTACTCAGCAAAGATAATTCCAGATTGAGTTGCTGTTGGGTTGATAAAGAATACTGTTTCTGTTTCTGTTTTCCCGAAAGAGAAGACACTTTTCAGTCTAAGATTTTGACACTTTCTAAATGAGACATCGCACATGAGAAAACATTCTTACAGTTAACTTTTTTCATGAACAACCGTTTAAAATTTGTCAACTTCTACGCTTAACGGCCAAATATTTGCCGTTTTGCGGCTAACGGTACAATCTACTGAGACGCTCCGAAAGAATATTATCTCCCAAGAAAGATAAATAGGATGAGAGATGATAGACAACGAGCTCGATCACTCATAAACTTAAGAAGTATGTTACTCGTCTTGACAAAATGATGATGAAACAAAGATGAAATCTGAGTACCCCAAGATGAAACCAAGTACCCCAGACCTTCGGGTACCCCAAAATCCGAATGTCTGAGGCCACCACCAAAGCTTTGATTTAGGCTTGTTCTTGTCGAACGTTCGAGACAGCTTAGGAAATCTTTCTTTGCTCGACGATCTTGTTATTTTTACCTTCCATTTTAATTTTTTTCTTTCTGTAATGTTCTTATTTCTTCGAAAGCTTCATTTCCTTTTGAACCATGATCCCCCATGCATCTGTCAAAATCATTAGATATCGAAAGTTGAAACCTAATCTCGTTTCCACAGATCTGAGCAAACGAACCTTAAATCTAAAATTAGGTGTTTCTAAAGCTGTGTTTGTTTCCTTGAAGGAAAAGAGGCGCTCTTCGAACTAATTGTTGATTCATAATTGCATGAAAAGTCTTTAGAAAGAAACTTTTGTAAATGACTAGATGAGACATTATCGGGGTAAAACTCCGCTAGTTGATACACGAAAGCTTGGGTGGCTAAAAACACAAAGATCCTTTCGTAAGTATTTCAA